TACCATATGAATGGTGTGACAAAAGATCTTGTAGTACAAAAGTTATTAAGAGCTCCGGAAAAAGTAATTTATTATTACCCGGATGAATAAAATTATTCACGACATTGATATTGTAAAGTCTCAAAAGAAACTTTTTGAGTTTCAAATGTATAAGTCAAAGTGGTTGGCATATTGAGACTATAAATGAAAGGAATATTGAATATCTTCATATTTCTATAATCATACCAGGTAAATATGAAAGGTTACCCGATTTTCTTTCTATTTGTACTACACAAATATAAGTATGATGATGGAATCATATGGCACAAGTAAACTAGAGGTTTACTGAAATAAATATTAGTTGGCATGACCGGTTGACCATCCCGATTCAATTATGATGCAAAAAATTAATTAAAAATTACATTGGCATATATTGAAGAAATAGAAGATTTTTCAAGAATTCTCTTGTGCTGCTTATTCTCATGATATACCAGTTAAGGTTGGGATTGAATCCCTTGATTTCTGAAACAAATAAAAGGTGATAAATATATGGGGCCAGTTACATGCCATGTAGACCGTTTACTATTATATAATTTTAATAGATGTATCTATTCTATGGTCATATGTGCATTTGTTATCAACTTGCAATTTGGCTTTTGCAAGATTGATTGCTCAAATTATTAGAGCACAGTTTCAGAATATAAATTATGATGATTTATCTTGATAATACTGGTTTAAATCTAAGTTGGTTTAGCAGAAATTTTATGCCTCCAATTATATCTAAACCATTGATTATGAGAACAAAACTGTCAAAATAAAATTTGGTACGTGATGTATTATTTAATATACAACAGCACTTTTACGCATCTAGCCAAGTTATGATAAGTTCTCCCTATCACAATCGGTTAAGGGTCAGGAACCAAATAATTTACATCTAGAAATATGAATGTGCTATATGATTTAATTGTTCCACCACAATGCATAAAGATGGATCCCCAAATAATGCTAGGGATATGTGTTGGTGATCCCAATAATAGGGGGAGAAAATGGACAACTGAAAAAGTAATGCGAATCTAAAATCCACTAATTGTTAGATTTGAAACTATTATTAGTTGCTAAAAAATAGTTCCCTCAGTCTCATCAGCAGCTACACTTGCTTCGACAGTGTCAGTATTTTTGTGCTCATTTTTCTTTTCTGTATGCTTTTCTTTGTTTTTTAATTTAAAGCATTCAGAAATAATGTGACATTTCTTGTGACAATATTTGCACATGACATTTTTGTATCTGGATTTTGACCTTGATTTAGGTTTTTCACTACTTGAATCTTTCTTATTGGATCTACCTCTTATGAATAAGCCTTCCCATTGGTTCCCACTAGTTTTCCCAGTAAAAATCTCTATCTATTTGTTCTTTTGATTTCAAAATAGATTTGATATCTTTATAAGAGATATTATCCTTTCCATAAAGGATAATATCTCTTATATGTTTAAACGGCTGGGGTAAGGAAATAAGTAATAACACAGATTGATCCTCATATTTGATTTCAGCATCTATGTTACTTAAATCCATAAGAAGAGAATCAAAAGTATCAAGATGTGTAAGTATAGAGCTACCTTCAGCCATACGAAAAGTGTAGAGTTTTTGTTTTAGGTAAAGCCTATTTTCTATTGTTCTTTTCATATATAGGGTTTTAAGCTTTTCCCATATGCCCTTGGCTGGGCTTTCTTCTGCAACTTCACGCAAAACCTCATTTGAAAGATTTAAAATAATATATGCTTTTGCCTTTTGTCTATAATGGCAAACTCCTCGTTCGTCATTTTATCCTGCATCTTCTCCTTTCCTTGCAATGCCAAATCTAAGCCATCCTGAATTAGGATAGCTTCCATCTTTAATTGCCACATTCCGAAATTTGCACTTCGGTCAAATTTATCAATATAAGACTTTGTTAGAGTCATTTTGGTTATTTAAACTAACCAAGTTAGATCTGGCTCTGATACCAATTTATTAGGATCGAAAAATCAGGTAGCGCGGAATTAAGCCAAACAACGTTATAATGACAATAACAAAGACAATGCAAGTTGATAATAACGACAATTAAAGAAGATAAAGAAGACACAAATTTAACGTGGTTCGGTCAAGGTGACCTACGTCCAAAATTTTACTATACCAACAAGAGTACAAAAGCAAACGACTAATTTCAGTACATAAACAATTAAAGAAGATAAAGAAGACACAAATTTAACGTGGTTCGGTCAAGGTGACCTACGTCCAAAATTTTACTATACCAACAAGAGTACAAAAGAGAGTACAAAATTAGAGTAAATACTCTAATTCCCAAATACCCCAAGAGAATAACCTCACAAAATCACTCCAAAGAAAGGGTTCACACAAGTGTTTCCCAACACTCACTCTCTTACAAAATACTCTATAATAAAATAAAGGAGGAGAAAGAAAAGACAAGAGTGAAAAACTCTTGAATTTGTGTGTTTACAAATAAGGAGAAACACCTCTATTTATAGCAAGAAATTCTTGGCCTAATAGTGGATATTATGTCATGCCAAATGTCACGATCCACAAATTTTGTTATAGTGGATATTATGTCATGACAAATGTCATGAAAATTCGACGCCCACTTGAGAAGAAGTCAAATTAATGGCCATATTACGCAAGAGTACGTGACATATTATAGAAGCAAGATATACAGAGTACTGCGAATGTATATTTTGTTTAGATTATGTGTCTAAAATCTTTTTTTTATTACTCAAGCTTTATGCCCTGTTGAATATTATTGTATACAATAAAACGGAATGATTATTATTTACCAGTCGAAAGGAAAAACAAATAGAAAAATACTAGAGAACCTACCGATTTGAGAGTAGAAACTTTCTGCCGTATCCTTTCTTCCTTCTCACGTTTGCACTCTGCACACCAGCTAGGAAAATCTGTTTGGTACTTCCTCATTTCTCTGAAAACGGAGCTGCAAGATGAAAGTAACTATAATTACATAATCGATATTAGTATATTTTGAAAATAGTAAATAATTAGGTACTTAATATACATAATCAGAGAGTTATTCTTTTATGTCATGCTACTACCCTCTTCCACATGATTAGTTTGCATATTCAGTCGTAATTGGTATTATACTGACATAAACGCTCTCTAATGTTGCCAAGAACTGTTAAATATTATCATAAAAATATCACGACATTTATGTGAATATGCAGGGGAGGAGATAGCCAATCAACTGCGGGTTCGGCCGAATCCAGTAGCTTTTGGTCCAAATCCTATATTTGTCTTGTGAAATTCATTAAATATGTACTAATTACTAATTCAGAATCCAGTAACTTTAAAAGGATCAGAACTCCGAAACCATAACCTTCAAATTCTCGCTCCGCCTCTATGAATATGTATTAGAAGCAAGATGGCCAGTAAAGATCAACAAGAACATATAGAAAGCCAGGGAATTGACCAGTACCTTCTGCACCATATCAACAAGTTGATCCTCTGCCCAGATGTTGTCGCTCTAGCACCATGCCTATGGCGACCACAATGAAGAATTGCACGCCCCGCGATATGCGCATAATCAAAGATCTCCTGTTGAAAAAATAATTATATAGAACTAGATCAATATATCAATTACACGGAACCAAATTAATAGTAGAATATCACTTGCTACCAAAATATAGAGGAATTATTATTCATCAACTTGACGAATAATAGTAGTACTCCCTATGTTTTAAAAAAGATTGACACTATTTCTTTCTTTATTAGTCTATTTTTCTAATAAGAAGTATTTATAGCGATACAAATGCTACGACAGATTTCAGACCACAAGTTTTAAAAGTTTTACAGCCACACAAATGTTATGGCTTGTGTAAGACCACATGTCTCAAAAGTCTTCCATTCTTTCTTAAAGTTTGTGTCAAGTCAAACTAAGACGATCTGTTTGAAACGAAGAGAGTAATAATTACCTCTGGTTGTGTATCAGAATTCACATGCTTCTCGCACCGCACACCTCGAAAGAACAACTCTCCACCTGTGAATTGCTTTCCTAAGCACACATTCAAAGTGACCTCCGCATCATCAACATGGAAACCTGAAAAGTAAAGCTATTAATATATATACTGCAAAAATCTATGCTCAATGTCGCATAATAGAGTCTATTCATGTAACTACTGAATTAGATATCGTTACATACTCACCCAAGTCAATGTCTCTGTCTGTCCCATACTCAACGACAAAACCATGATGACCATCGAGTGTGGATCCACCAACTTCAGTAAAAAAAACTGCACAATTATATCAAAGAATAATTAAGATCAACATGAGATCAATCCTAACGTCTCCGTTTCGTTAATTTTTCGTTAGATTCTTCATATAATTAGTTGTTACCTCTTGAAATAGGGCGTATAAAATCTTCCATAAACTTCTGAAGCATGTTTTGAAGGCCAAAATCATCAAGAACGGATCCAAATTTGTTCATAGTATTGGGGCGCATGATTCTGAATTTTGTTTCACGAACCCATTTCTCAAAGTTTTGTACCTAATTAGAGTAGATATTATCACAATTTGATAAGAAAACAGAAAAGAAATAAATTACACAGAGGAAAAACAGATCCTAAATTAGTACCTCAGCCAACATCATCTCACAAAAACGTGGTTGAAGCATTTCAAATGTAAAAACACCTGGAGAAGCTTCAGACATTATTTTTCTGAAGCTTTCCTCCGTATTCTCACTGATCGCCTTAATAAATGAAGGCACAAAGAAATCTGCAGCGTGCATGGTATATAACACCCTATGTAGAGGCTGAAAGATAAAAGGGAAGACAATTAAAAAGGAAGAAGATTGAGATTTGCTTATATACTATAGGATCAACAACAACAACAACAACCCAGTAAAATTCCACAAGTGGGGTCTGAGGAGGTAGAGAGGTTGTTTTCGATAGACACTCGGCTCAAGCAGACGAAAAAGACAATATATCAGTACCAATAACAGAAAGCATAGAAATAATAAAAGCATCATAAGTACCAGAAAATAGATGAAAAACAATATCAATGACACGTAAGAAAGGCTCGGTACTATGAATTATAGGATATTTTTGTTTTTTTTTACCCAAATGTGAATATATAGGGCAATTCCATGCCTAGGGAACTCCATCCCAAATATAATATCCATTGCGCTCACTGTGGGTGTGCAGATTCCGGAGGGGCTCCTTCAGCCCAGGCGCTATAATAATCCAGGATTTCAGACCTTATGTTCAATTGCAGTTATCGCAATTGCGATATGGGTTCGCATGCAATTCCGACTAAAACCTCGCAATTGCGGCACTGAAGGTCCGGGAAGCATGTTTATTTAATTTATTAAACACTAGCTTATTTACAAAAAACATATAATGTGTGATGTACCTGATAGTTTGATATGATTTTCTGCCTGTATTCTCCATGTTTCTGCAACTGATATGTAGTAGCAACACAGTTAAAAGATATCAAGATGAGTTGATTGGTAAAAGACCTAAGTATAATAAAGAAGTTTCATTATACTAAAAGAAGCTGAATTAAGCAAAAATAGGCATAAAATATGGATGGCAATTTGGAAAGGAAGAAGACCTAAAGGATAAATTGAAGACAGCTTTCACGTTGGGGCACTGACATGTTCACCCACCAAATATACATACCAACATGCTCCAAAAGTCAAAGAAAAATCTCCAGCTATTATTACAAATTTAAACTGAAAAGCTTCAACTTTTTTGTTCCATAAGCTCCTTAATTAATTAGCTCACAAAGGATTGGCAATCCTTAAGAAATACTAGTCATATCATTAAAAATCCTCTTTTTACTGAAGTCAAATGGTAAAAACTTATCAAAGATGAATGCTAATGTAGAGTTGACTATATATATAAATATAACACGCCTTAGCTTCTAACCTCAATTCAATACTATAAATCTAACCATGCCACAATCGCAGCAAATATATATCACCCACAGATGGACTATAGTATACTAGTGATCAAATAATAACTTTCGGATCAGCAGCGGTAAAAGTGAATTTTTATGCATAAGTAACAACGCTTACATACAAACAGTGGCTGTAGGAAAGAACTTAAAACAACATTAATACTGTATGCAAATAGGCCAAAAGTGAACTTTTTTATTACTCCGTATAAGCGTTGAATCTCCTTGATTTCCACCCGTTGTTCAGTAAGGACCCCACTAATAACTTTATTTTATTTTGAGAAGTGTTTTTTCTCAAAATTAAAGTGTTTTTCTCAAAAATATTTTTTATGAGAAGCAGTTTGTGTTTGACTGATTAATTTGAAAAACACTTTTGTGTTTGACTAATTAATTTAAAAAACACTTCTAAATAGCCTTTCAAAAACCGCTTCTAAATGTATTTTTTCTCAAAAGTACATTTGAAAAGAAGCTACTTTTTTTTTCTTATTCCAAAAGCTTGATTTTTCAAAAAAGTTCTGCACTAGGAAGTCATACATCGGAGATAAAGTGTTCCGGGCAAAGGCGATTATGTAACAATGATCCCATGCATGCAAACTGTATATAAAATTATAAATACAGTACTATACTTACGCGACTGCGATCGGAGCGGGGAGAGTAACGGAGGAGAATATCAGTCATGTATTGGACCTTGTTGTCTCGAGATGAACTGAGGACGCTGGTCGGAAGATGCCGCTCAAGAGCACTGTATAGATGTGGGCTGAACTCCAATTCTTCTTCTAAATCCTCATACTTCTCCGCCTTCTTCTCTACACATGGGTACAGCCGCAGCGCTGGCCCCTTCGACGAAACGCTGTCGTTTTCATTGCTCCGACTCCCATTAATCTCGTTAGCTTGTGCCTCCCTTCTCTGATCCATAGGTCGTTATTAGAAAAGTTGGTAATTTTTTTAGAGAATAAAACTTACAGGATACAAAAAAAGCTTTCAAACTCTATTGGTAGGGGAAATGTATTTTGGTGTATAAATATGTACAAGAGATTGATTGATTCTATGTATAGAAATAGGGTATGAGGGTTTCCTCTGGTGGTATATGAATAGGATTCTACTGCATTTTAGGGCATACTTCGGCACCAAATTAGTGAAATTACCTTACATAAAAACGGCGCTTTTTATTACTCATTTCCTTCTTTTGAATTTGATTTGGTTTATATCTATTATTATAAATGTTATTTTAGTTATATAATTTTTTTTATAGGAGATCAATAAAAAACTTTAACATACAAAATCGGGAAATCTTTATAGTTATATTTTTTCTATTTAAATTTTAAGTGAACATAGGATTATTTCCTCCCCTTTTATATGTCACATGGTAAAAACATCATCTAAAATTTCGTTTCTATAATTCCAAAATGATTTAGCTGTTTTTTTGGAAATAAATGACACAAGTAAGGACTACATAAAACTACAAGTCTACAACCGATCACAATCTTTTGTAACTGAAAATATTGAGAAAAGTTTGGAAATATTGTAGACGGAAAAATAACTTTTTGACTCTCCTCTCCATATAGTAACAAACTAACAATAGTGGTAATTTTGCAAATTCTCTAGTGAAAAAAGGAACAATTAGTATCCGATTTCACTCTTGAAGTTGTATAAACATGATGTTCCTTTCATCAAACGATATTAAATTATCATATTAGAAGATATTAAAATTGGCTACTAACCTTTTTTTACAAGAAAATAAATTTAGAGACTTAAAAATATTTTTAAAAAGTGTTGTAAATTAAATCACATCATTCATAAAAGTAAAAAGAAAAACTTTAGAAATAATATTTTAGTTAGAGTTGATTTTGTAGACATTCAAATTTTAGTGAATTTTAACCATATAAAATTTGGTCTTAATTCCAAAATACAAAAAATGTTGGACCAAATCAAGTTGAATTATTTAAGCCTAAGACATGGATTCAAACTATAAGTCCTACTTTATTTAGGCTAGTCCATTGAGCTAGCCTTCAAGAGAAGAGCCCACTTTATTAGCCCAATGTCCATGCCACGTGTCGAATGACATGGCACACCAAGTCAAACGCCAATAGAAGTATGCCACGTGTCAAAAATGATAAGGCACGCCAAGTCAAACCAAAGGCCAATAATAGTGCGTCACTCGTATAAGTGACATGTTCTGGCCAATCAAATGCGGCCTTGTCACGCTTCAATCTGATTGGTCGAAAAGAGTTTGTTCTCATCACAATTCTTCTCTTCCACAACTATAAATAGAGGTCTTCATAACTCAGAAAAGGCACCAGAAGTTATAATAAGAAGCAAGAGAGTGCTCATGGATCAAACACCTCAAACTTCAAGCAATCAAGTTCAAGTTCAAGAAATCAAGTTCAAGCTCAAAAACGATGAACAAATCAAGGTTCAAGGAGTACTAGTTCAAATCAAAGTTCGTGCTAATTGAATTCAAGATCATCGTTCGTGGTAAAAAATATAGATTCAAGATCAAACTCAAGGGCCCTTGAATTTATTTACTATTGGAAAGAAGAATTAGAGGATTGATAGAGATAACACTCATATTACTCGAAATCAAATACTACGATTATTGTAATATTTTTCAATCTTAATTATTTTCTCGACGCAAATTTATTGTCTACAAAATCTGGCACACCCAGTGGGACAATCTCTACCTCTCATCTCAACTTTTCAATAACCAAAGTTCAAGAATATCGAAATGGCTTCACAAAAAATCAACTCCAGATCAACTTCCACTAAGGCTGCTAATTCCAAGTTCTATGCTGATGTGGAAAGCATCCTCGATGTTACCTTTGGAAGCTTTGGGCCGACTAAAAGGAGCAAAGCAAGCTTTTTAGTACAACAAGCACTCCAAATGTCGTCCACATCAACCCCTATTTTCGGATCATCATCCTCAAAAGGAGCAAGATTCTTTACAAGCAGGACCCCAAAAGGAAATGACGTCGTCAAAAGGATAAAAAAAGGTTCTTGCCCAACTTAGTTCATCTAAGTTCGAGAAACCTTTCATGCCAGCCGAGGATGACGACTTGAGCGTTGGATCTACTCTAGTCAACATTAATACGACCTCTGAGCTCTATCCTAATAATGATCCATATCATTCTTCATCCTTTATGGCGATAATGCAAGCAATGGTTATTGAAGTTTCTACCATAGAAGAACAACTTGAAATTTGACAAGAGCAGTTGAAGGCTTGTCAAAGCGTGTGCAAGATCAAGATTCTAAACTTTTTAAGTTAACAAACAAGTTGGATAGCCTAGTAGAAGGAGAATCCACACAAGAATATTTAAATCTTCAAAGGTCACAAGAGAAAGGAGACTCATCCAAAAAGCAAGCAACAACAACTAAGGAGATCCAAGTTTCCGCTGAAGGTCTGATTCCCGTTGAGAAATTGAAGGACTTCATCATGGAGGCTATCAAAGATAATCCTTAACCGTCGTCCAAAATATCTCTCACATATACAAAGCCGTATACACAAGGAATTGATAACTTGAAGATGCATGTTAGTTATCAGCCTCCTAAGTTGCAACAATTCGTCGGTAAGGGAAATCCGAAACAACATGTAGTGCACTTTGTTGAAACTTGCAATAATGCTAGAACGTACGGTGATTATCTTGTCAAACAGTTTATTCTATCTCTCAAAGATAATGCATTCGATTAGTACACAGATCTCGAATCTGGTTCTATCGATAGTTGAAAGCAGTTACATGAGTTTCTCAATCGTTTCTATAGCACAAGACGCGTCGTAAGAATGATTGAACTTACAAACGCTCATCAACAAAAGGATGAACCAGTTATTGACTTTATCAACCGCTGGAGGAGCTTAAGCCTTAACTGCAAAGATCGCCTTAGCGAAACTTCTGGCATCGAAGTGTACATTCAAGGCATGCATTGAAGTCTTCGCTATATCTTACAAGGCATAAAGCCCAAAACATTTGAAGAACTAGCAACTCTACACATGAAATGGAATTAAGTATGGCTACAAGTGGAGATCAAAGGTTTTCTGGCTTTTAGCCTCATGATGAAATAGAAGCACAGGATGCTGAGAATGGGGGCAAGTATTCATTCGAAGATGAAATTGAAGAGTCTATGCATGTCACTATGCTCCTCAATGCACGAGCCTAAACTGCAAGTTATTATGCTCCTCAACACACGAGCCTAAACTGCAAGTTATAATGCTTCTTGGCACATGAGCCTATACTATATGTCACGAAGATCTCCAAATTTGAACCAAATCTTCAAGGCGTAAAGCTCTTCAAATTCGAGAAAAGTCTTCAAGTTATAAAGCTCTTTAAATTCGAGCAAAATATTTAAGTCGCAAGCTCTTCAAAGTTGAGCAAAGACTTCAAGTCGCAAAGCTCTTCAAAATCGAGCAAAATATTAAGTTGCAAAGCTTTTCAAAATTGAGCAAGTCTTCAAGTTGCAAAGCGTTTCGTGATGTAAGGTAAATCTTTAAATTACTATGCTCCTAGAGGCACGAGCCTAAACTGCAGTCATGAATCTCTAAAAATTTGAGCTAAATTTTCAAGTTGTAATGCTCTTCAAGTTTGAGCAAAATCTTCAAGTTGCAAAGCTGCTCAAAATGCGAGGTTAAACTACAAGTCGCTATGCTCCTTAACGTAAGAGCATAAACTGTATGTTTCTCCAGGCACTAGAGTATAAACTGTGTACGGCCAAAAAATAAAGTCCGCTAGGTTGAAAACCTTGAAAGAGGCGGCCTAGGCAAAAGTTAGGACATTAAAAACAAAATAACCCATTCTGAACTACGGTATGACTTGATCCTCTTCACCGAGGTACGTAGGCAACTTAGAGTTTCATTCTAAGTTCAGTCGCATAAATTCAAAAGATACATATTGCCCCAATTGTTGTCCGAGTGAAGTATGAAGGAATGTAAAATCAAGCTGAAACACTATTCTTCTGTGGAACTTTGGATCTCATTTGATTTAAAGGGGACAATCCTCTATGGTAAATTGGTATCTTCCATGGGACGAATTTAGAAGGATGCCAAGTATTTGCATTGAAATCCGGGGATTCGCTATGTCTTCATGTTCGACAAACCTTCAAGTTTGTTGGTCTTCAAGTCCACTGTCCTTCAAGTTGAAGTCTGCAAGTCTGCCAATCTTTAAGTTGAAGTATTAAAGCCCTCCAAGTCTTCAAGTCCATCGATCTTCAAGTTGAGTTTTTTAAGCCCTCCAATTCTTTAAGTTGAAGCCTTCAAGTCTGCTAATTCTTCAAGTTGAAGTTTAAAGTCCATCGCTCTTCAAGTTGACGCGTCAAAGTCTGCCAAATCATCAAGTTTGTCGGTCTTCAAGTTGAGGTCTACAAATTCACTACGTCTTTAAGTTAAGGCTTTCTAATTCTCCAATCTTAAGGTGGGCATTTAAATTCTTTTGCACCATAAGTTGGCTTCTTTACGGTTTGTCCTTAAAAGGAACTATGCTTTTCAATCTTAAGGTGGACGTTCAAGACCCTTTGCACCTTAAGTTGTCCTATTCACGGGTTTGTTCTTAAAATGAACTATAATTTTTCAATCTTAAGGTGGACGTTTAAGTCCCTTTGCACCTTAAGTTGCCCTCTTCATGGTTTTGCTCTTAAAAGGATCTGCAATTTTCCAAGCTTAAGATGGACATTTAAGTTCCTTTGCACCTTAAGCCAGTCTTGTTGCGAGTTGATCCATCTATATGTTGTTGAGAATTTGTCCTATATGGTGATGTAGATTTATCCGTCTATATGGTGATATGGATTTGTTATCTATGTATTGTGATGTATATAGAAGGATCAACTCGTAATGACTTGAAGATGTAGTCCCAAGTCAGAGCCTTAAGGTTAGGAAACTCCATGACTTCTTCACCAAGTTCCAGAAGAAGTTACTCCTCGCCACTGCCGCAAGGATGGAATATGGTTGGTCCAAGCCTCTTTCTCACCAAGCCGCAAGAAGGAGACGTGCATGTACTACTTTATCAAGCAGCAAAAAGGAGATGAATCACGTGCTTCTTCAAGAGAG